GGGGTATGGGATGTGGGATGCGGGGTGACTGGTGCGGGACAGGCGGTGCGGGGAGGGGGGATGCAGGATGGGCGGTGCGGGATTCAGGATGCACGGTGCGGCGTGCTGGATGGAGGCTGTGCAGGTATAGGTACGGTCGGAATGGTGGAAAGACTTGGGCAGGGCTGGCCAAGAGGCCTGGCCTGAGTTAATGGGTAATATTAAGCTGGTGTGGTTTAAACTGACGGTTTAACAGGATTTTCTTATACTCCAGGGAAGATAAAATGAAATTTCCAACAGTTCAGTAATCATACTTTTCATCCTCTCTGTCTTGTGCAGTTGCTGCTCCTTCCCATCACCGTGCACATGCAGGGGCAGGCTCTGTTTTCCCATTGCCCCCAGCCCATGCCCATGTTGCCTATGCTCTCTGTGCAGTTAGAGATAAACAGATCAGGCACCAGGAACAGTACAGCTTTCTGCCACTCCCTTCCAATTCTGTTAAAATTATTATTAATATTCTGCTTTCACTGCCTCACAGATCAGAAGGAGCTTGTTTTTTTTTCTTGGCTTACTCTGATCATTACCTGCCTTTTTATTTCCATATAAGAAGTTCAAATTTGGACTTGCTCCACTCTTTTTGTATCCTGTCTTTTGTGGGAAATGGTAGCAGCCTCTCTGCCCACTGTGGATAAAAATAGAGTTTTTAACTTTCTTCAAATTGAAAGTCGGTCGTAATTTCTAGTATCAATCTGTCAAATACACAGCTGGTAGAATTCTGCCATTCCTATACTAGAAATATTAAAGGAAGAAAAAGTTGTTTTTATGGGAGACCTAGGCATAGTGAAATATTCTTAGTGCTGCTTGAAAGGCTCTCAGCAACCAAGTAGGAAACATTTCAGGTTTGAACACTGCTATTGTAGAATGTGGTCATTGACACTTCTGGTCACAACAGATGGATCCAGGGGGCAGTTATGGGTATATCTGCACAGGGAGTTTGTCATGTCCTATGTGGACTAGTTTTCAAATACATTCCATTTATGCACTTATATTAGAACTGATAGGACAATTCTTAGGAATCTGGTGTTAAGAATGCTTCTGTAAGTTAATCACTGATTAAAATCTGGTGAAGTACTAGAGCAGTTGAAGATTATCTTGTGATAAATGCTTTGCTTCCTATAGGAAGCCAGGGGTTTTTGATGAATTAAGAAACTATTCTTTAATGAGCTATTGCTACAATAGACAGGATGTCTGAAAGAACAAAAGGTTTACGAAGTGTCAGAAGTCCACTCCAGAATCTATCTGCCTTAAAGTGGTGCCTGCATATGAAGACTCAAGTGCGCCAGGAAAAAATAGTTCCTCTTCACAGTGCTGTAAAATAATGAGTAGTGAATCTGATAAACAGCATATGCAGACTTGTACAAACCTACATAAATCAAATAAAAATAATTTGGTAAAATACATAAGAGATTTTTGTAATGGACAAAATCCCTAAATAGATTCACATTTTAATTACATGTCAACATTCCATACAACTATTGAGAAGGAAACTTAAATGTTTCATCCTGATTCTTTGGGTTAAATGCTCCTGATACATATCCACACTTTTCAGGATTTGAAGACTCTTGTCTGGAAGAATGCCTCCTAAAGTCCATATTTGCCCTAAAGCTAGTGCAGTCAGAATCAGTTGTCACCAAGTTGCCAATAAAGTTGCTGTTGCATTTAAGTCACAGTGCTGAACTCTAAGGATCTGAATCTATTTAGATTACAGATAGAAACTCAAATTCTGCCACTGTTATTTGGGTTACTATTATCAGAGCTTTCTGTATTTTTTAACCATATTCTTTATCAGACTACTGCAATATAAGAGATAGTTCAAAGCTTAATGCTTTGAAAAACATGAGCAGGACACTTAAAGAATAAATTCCTCCAGCATTGTGCTGGAAAACTTAAGCAGGAGATCGTTTGTTCTTCCCATCAGGATTGGATGAATGTGTTTGTCAAGTCTGTTTTGATATTCTTATCTTCCAGCAATTTTACAGGGCTTGTTTAAGAAGTGTAATGAAGTGTCATGTCTTGCTAATAACAATAAATATGAGTAAGGAAATAAAAAACTAGATAAATTCAGCTGGGGTACGCTTTGATAGTACTGCTGTCAGCAGCCACACACCCAACCCACAAAGCTGCTCTTCTCCATGAAAGATTTTTTCATTGGCATAAAACACATTTTGTTTCATTTTGTTGCAAATGACACAAATTCATGGTTCTGTGAACTCACAGAATTAGTAGAAACCAGAATTAATGAGGTTCTTTGTTCATGATGGAAATGAAGCTGCTAAGGATTTTGTTATGGAGGAATGTATACTTACTGAATGCTTACATTTTTTTACAGTCTGAACTGGTATAGAATGAATGAGTTTACAGTAGGCTTTCAAAACTTATTTTAATTATGGCCAAAATATGATTAGTGAAAGCATGATATTTGGGGCTTAACTATGAAAAAGTCTGTAAACATTCTGAAGAATGTTCTTACTATCTTTGTTTAGCTGTTTGTTTATTAACTAAAAATAGGAGGAAAAGAATAAACATTTCTAGATATACAACCAGGGGAAATGATCAAAGGGGAGAAGAACAAAGAAAATAAGAGTAGATAATACTAACAAGTAGGACTGGGTAGGTCTGGACACATAGCCAAGAGCCATAAAGGAGCAGATGGAAGAAGTGACACACAGAGAAACAAAGCAGGGTTAGGACTAATACACAAATCTCATGTGAATATATTTACATTTTTGGCCTTTACACAATTTTATAATTTCAATTAGACATATATTTCTCTCTTACTGTGTTACTGTGTTACTAAAAGTAGGACATCCCCACCCTTTAACAACTTTAATGTAAAGAAATTATGAATATAAAAGGTTGGGGGGCAGGGATATACCAAGAAAGCAGTCCAATGCACATATTATTATGGAGTTACCTGTAAGCAACCTTTACAACTGCATTATGTCTTCTGCTTCCAAGAAGCTATAACAAACATTTGACAACTCAGTTTGATATGTAAACACCAAAACTAGACAAGGAAAGCATGAAAATCCAGAATATTTCAAGAGGTATGGCTTACCTAGACAGAAGCTTGCCAATTAGGGGATGAAGTAAGAGCTTTTTCTGGTTCTGCCTGTTGCTGCAGCTGTTATGTGAACAGCAGAACTGTAAACAATCTTATCAAGCATAAACTTGCATTTCTTAGTGGTTAGAAAGTAAGCTACAGCACACACACCCCCAGTTGTGGCAAAGACATTTTTGGGTAAAATGGTTACTGAAGAGATTATTAAAAACAAAGGTCTAGCATATGTACAGTACTTTAGGACATGTTGGAAAGAGTTCTAAATTGTTTGCATATCCAGTTTTAATATATTCCAGAATTTTGAGTTCTTGTGTATTACCTGAGGCAGTGACCCAGTCCACAGGGTGGCTGCTGGAGACCCTGAGTGCAGCAGAACATGTCTGGCAGACAGTGTTCCAGACATCTGGGAGAACATGAAGCAGGATTTCAAACCATTCCCCTACAGCAATGAACACAGGGAGGCCATAGAAAATGCTGCCCCATTAGCAGGGCTAGGGAGCATCCTGTGATGTGCAGCACAAGAGATGCACATTGTTCTCTGTGAGCAGGTGACAGAGTGGCTCTGCAGGCTGGAATCTGGCTCCTGTCTACTTCAGCAGAATTACCATCATTTTAGAGGAATTAGAAAGTTTAGCTTTGAAGCAGTTGCAGCATTTAAGATCTACAAGGGAAGCTTGGTCACAGTTAACCTGTACTAAGTCTGTGAGACTGACTTAGGCTTTGAAAATTAACTGGAGTAACTTTGATATCAAGAAAATGGCTAAAAGCTGCCATTCAAGATGTTAGTCTTATTTTTTCAAATATTTATAACCTTCAAATCACTGTTAGGCACTGCTTGACAGAAGGCTGGGCTTTGACTTATTTGGTCTATGATAAATATCTTTAATACAAAACTACATTTTTGTTTGTTATTAATCTCACTGTGCCAAACTAGAGCAGCGAGCTTTGCTTTGCAATTTCCTGACTCCTGAAGATACCCTTCCTGCTTTTCAGGTTCATGTTAGTAATATAAAGTCCTTATAGCTGAAAGAAATGCAAACAGAAATTTCCTCTTGTCCTTCAGTACTAGTATAAACTTTATATTCTTTATAATATTATGGAAATATTTGCCCTAACCAGCTATTTAGAGGTATTGATGTTTGAATGATAAAGCACTATTTTCAAGGAATGCGGCTCACATCATATCCTATGACAAATTCATCATGCATGATCATGGAAACTAGTCAGGGAGTTGTAATTATATAGTGGGTCACACCCAAAGTAATGAATTTAACTGTTAAGAGTTTGTTTTCTTTTTAAAGGAGGTTGTTCACTTGGTTTCATC